TGAATCCCCTTTGCCTAACAAGACAGGCAAAACATTCCCGTTTTCGTACCCCAACAGATACTTTACTAGAACACCTACAAACGCAACTGAACTAACGACTAAGACCTGTTTGTTCTGTGGGCCGGGAATTTTTTTTTGTCACTGATTGATATATATATATGTACCACTAATGTCGATAAATCATTTTGAATCTCTCATCAATCTTTGAACATGCTCAACTGAAATCCGAAAAACCAACGCATCTAGTAAAATATAAGGTCTGAAAATGAACATTTTCATTAGTTGCTCTAATATGCATTGAGATAAGGTGCTAATTGTTTTTTTAGTATTACTGCGCGTTTCCTTGTGTCCTCCTTTCCTTCTGTTGACTTAATCTTAGAATTCTTGAGAGACCAACCTAAATCAAAAACACGTTTCTGGTTGCGTAATCCGTCTTAATTAAGCACTTATAGAATGCGGCGTATATTTCTATATTAATTGATTTTTTATCGATATAATTTCTTGTTATTATTTGTGTGCTTTTAATAATCTTTTTTTAAGTTTCAATTCTATCAAGTCCAACCCTGTGGGAAATAAAAAATACTACAAGATTTTCCAAATTATTGGTCACGTATAAACATGCGAATTGGAGCACGTTCGCTTAATTGCAAATGATTTTAAAAATATCATCCATCGTTCTATTTTTGCTTGTAATTTGGGAAAAATTTATTTGTTTTGGCACTAAGTCGCAGCTGCTGGATTAACATGCAATATGATTTCAGGATTTGTTTTTGTTTCAACACTTTGAGTGTATTTTTGGCGCCCGACAAAGTTTTCCTGTATTTTTCAAGTACAAATGAAAATACTTTTCAACCAGTCTATTTTTTTTTGTCTTTTTAGCTATAAAACACAAAACGGATATTTTAAATTGTTTTCTTTCAAATACTGAGTAATTTGTTTAGGGATGCAGATACCTATTAGGTTCTGACTTGTTTTAATGGATAGTCTTTATTTTAAAGCTAATTCTAGTTCTAGAGCTAAATTCCTATCGTTCATTTAGGAATTCTGCGGTATAATAATATTCCGACCAGATAAAATTACTGTGTCGAAAGGTCGTATTTTAGTTTTTCCGTTTTATCATCATAATACTAACGAACTCATAGAGCAGCATTTCCTTTATTCCGCGTATTTGAAAATCCCCAATTTTTACAATGATTTTTTACGTTTTACGATGTTATTACAGGTTAATGACGTAGATTATAAACTTTCATTACTTAGCTATAGATACATGCTTCTAAACAATGTTTAAATTTATAAAACTTAATTCTTTTTTGTTTCTGTTTACCTTGTAACTCAAAAGGAACCTCTGTACAAATGCGACACAGTGGCAATGCCTTGAACGTTTAAATTTGTTTCCGATTGGATCATTCATTATCATTATTATATTCATCATCAATTAGAATTAATTGATATCATAGGTGCTAAGTACTTAATGTAGTAAATATGATTGTATAGGTTCATATTTATATATATTTATATATGGTGTCTCAAATAAATGCCTTTGCAGCTACTTGAGATGCTGAAATTCTACACACGATTTGAAATCAGTGACGAAACAGGCGATCCCCTGAGCGATCATGATATGACCCAGCTGCATTATATTAAAATTACTTCGCTTCAGGTATGTTTACTTTGAAACATTTGTTAAGAACAAGAAAAGAAAATAATTTTGTAGTTTGCATTTTTTTCAAAATTGTTCTTATACTGCAATTAGGAAAGTAATTTTTATGGAACTTCTTTGCAGAAAGCTGCCTTTGCAAAATTTCCAGAGCTGCGCGCTTTTTCTTTGGCCAATGTCGCTAACGTTGATACAAGGAAAGCGCTGGAAAAACATTTTGGACCTTTAAGGTAATTTAGGCATTGAAACAACATGATTTTTTTGACTTATCCTACTCTCTTTTTACAGTTGCGACCAATTAAAAGCTATAGCAACTTACCTTTGCTTGGTACCGCCTGCAGGTCAAGAAGAAAACTACAAATGGTGCAGATTAGACGAATCCTTCTTAAGGGAACTGCTTGTATGTTTTTGCAAATTTGCTCTCATTAAGTCTGTTGTATAACATTTGTCATTTAGGTGTCTCGACATGAAAAACGAGTCTCCCAACTAGTGGCTTTAAATGAAATGCCCCTTTATCCTACAGAGGCGATCATTTGGGATGAAAACATCGTCCCAACCGCCTATTTCTCAGGAGAAGGTTGCTTGGCCTTACCCAAGCTAAATATGCAGTTCCTCACACTGCATGACTATCTTTTGAGAAATTTTAATTTGTTTAGACTGGAGTCGACATGTAAGTATATTCAATAATAATGGCAGTGGCTCTAATGAGATTTGAAAAAACATCTGGACTATTAGTTTTATGTGGTTTCGAAGAATGTTTCAAATTGAAATAAACATCCTAATCACATGCGTGTTTGGGAAATTCATCTAATAGCAAGTCCCAAAATGGGCCATGTGTTGTAATAAATCTGAAATAATATAATGAAATTTTCGTACTGGTTGCAACCCATTTAACTTTATGGATATTTTCATAATGATGTGGATTTCTGCAAATATTATTCAAATAGCTAAAGCTCCTTTTTTGTTTGAGTGTTTAATTTCGCAATTTTATAATGCATTGAGCAAATAGCCGGGGATTTCATTAAATTAAGGTTACAGATACTAATTTAGGTTTTCCAAATTACACATTGTTCTTATTGAGAATTTCTTTTATACCGTATTTTCAATATACGTAATTTTAATGTCGATTTGCAATAAGTTTCTGCTGTTAAATTTGGTTTGCAAAAGTTGCAAGTTGACAAAATCAATTTCTAATAAAAATCAACAATTCATTCTTGCGTTTTTCAGACGAAATCAGGCAAGATATCGAAGATGCTGTGAGCAGGCTGTGTCCTTGGTAAGTGGAATTTAAAGAGGACAAACCCTAAAAATTGTTTCCATTTTGCTAATATATACATTAATCATAGTCACATCTAGTAAATGTGTGTGAATTTGTGGTCGATTACAGGAAAGCCGAAGATGGAAGCACATATTGGGGAGGCTGGGCCCGCATGGCTCATCCCATTGAACATTTCGCTGTAGTTGAAGTAGCTAAACCTAACATAGGTGAAACTAGACCTAGCAGAGTGCGGGCAGATGTCACAGTTAATTTGTCTGTAAAATCGGAGGTAAAAGTCGAATGGGAAAATCTGCGGAAGCACGACGTGTGTTTCCTTGTCACTGTAAAGCCACTGAATCCCATTGGTAAATTTCTCAGATTTTACCCAGCATTTGCCTGTTTAATGTGCAAAATTTTCAGGTACTAGATATAATTATAAGGAGCCGTTTGTGCCACAAGTCGGACTTCGTTGTGTTCGCGGATGCGAAATCGAAGGCATGTTGGACAGCAATGGACGAGTAATAGAAGATGGTCCCGACCCAAAACCTGTCCTACCAGGTACGAAAACGAGCAACGTTATACATCGGGTAATTCAAAATGGAAGCCCATTTCTTTAACACTGGAACATACATACAGTTTACCTTCCATGCGAACACTATCATTACCTTTTGAATAAAAACCCTAATATATATTCTCAGGTGATCGACGAACATTTAGAGTCTGGCTCGATTGCAATCAGTACAGAGAAGACATGAGCGAAGCGAATAAAGGCAAAGACGATGTATATGAAGGCTTTAACATCATTATCAGAAGAAAGCCCAAAGAAAACAATTTTAAAGCCGTATTGGAAACTATCAGGTACTTACTCAAGATCAAAACTAATTTCAGGTTTAATTGTAGACTTGTGAATTGTTTTCAGGGAATTAATGAATACTGAGTGCGTGGTCCCCGAATGGCTCCACAACATAATCTTGGGCTATGGAGATCCGAGTGCAGCGCATTACGAAAAAATGGAAGGTCAAATTTCAACGTTGGATTATAATGATACATTCATCGATGCAGACCATCTGCGGTCCTGCTTTCCGGAGTATCAAATTAAAATCAAGACTGATGATCCGAAGAAACTAGTTCGACCGTTCCGTTTAACGTTCGAGAATTTGGGCTCGCAGCCCGCGGAAGAGAAAGCCAAAATAATCGTCGTCGAACCCCATAAAATTGACAGGAGGGGACCGTTTCTTTTTAATGAACCGAAAAAGTAAGTTGCCAAAAAGAACATTTGAGCAGACTTTTGTGAATGTTTGTTTATATAGGAATATTATCCCATTTACACCCTCGCAAGTGGAAGCCATCAAGTCGGGCATGCAGCCAGGATTAACTTTGGTGGTCGGTCCTCCCGGTACCGGAAAAACCGACGTGGCTGTTCAGATCATTTCCAATTTATACCACAACTTTCCCAATCAACGCACTCTGATCGTTACCCACTCCAATCAGGCCCTTAATCAACTGTTCGACAAAATCGTAGGCTTGGATATAGACGAAAGGCATCTGCTTCGTTTGGGGCATGGAGAAGAAGCTTTGGAGACGGAAAAAGTACGTTGTTGAAGCAACATTTATATAACGGTTTAACATGAGAGGTTTTAGGACTTTAGCAGATACGGTAGGGTGAACTACGTGTTAGCAAAACGTATCGATCTTCTGAATGAAGTGCAGAAACTCCAAGAGTCTCTGGATGTTGAAGGAGATCAAGCATACACTTGCGAAACTGCGGGTTATTTTTATTTATACCAAATCTTGTCCCGATGGGAACATTTCCAAAGCATCGTCAAGCCTAAGAGTGGAAATGTAAGGACATGTGTTTGTGTATACATTTGCAGTTTTTATAATGCACAACTTTGTGTTTTTAGGGCGTTCCAGTAGAAGCAATATCCAAAGAATTTCCATTCCACAGGTTTTTCAACAACGCACCCCAACCACTTTTCCAAGGCGTTTCTTACGAGGCTGACTTGGAAGTGGCGGAAAGTTGTTTCCGTTATATCGACCACATTTTCAAGGAATTGGAAGAATTTAGGGCGTTCGAATTGCTTAGATCCGGTCTGGACCGGTCGAAATACCTCCTGGTAAAAGAAGCAAAAATCATTGCCATGACTTGCACACACGCAGCATTGAAACGGAAAGAACTTGTGGAAATTGGTAATAGCAATCGGTTTTTATTTAAAACTAGTCCTTTAGTTACGCTTTTTTGCAGGCTTCAAATATGACAACATCCTAATGGAAGAATCAGCTCAGATTCTGGAAATCGAAACATTTATACCTCTGCTACTGCAGAATCCCCAAGACGGGTATAATCGCCTAAAACGGTGGATTATGATCGGAGACCATCACCAACTGCCGCCAGTAATAAAAAACATGGCATTTCAGAAATATTCAAACATGGAACAGAGTTTGTTTACGAGATTGGTGAGATTGGGAGTACCAACTGTGGATTTGGATGGGCAAGGGCGTGCGAGACCCAGGTAAATTTGGTTTTAAAGAATTTGTGGTTTTTCCAATATTAATTAATTTCTTTGAAGCATTTGCAACCTGTACAAGTGGCGTTACAAGCAATTGGGAAATTTGGGTCACGTGGAGAACTGGCCGGAATATAAGCGGGCAAATGCAGGATTTGCTTTCGATTTTCAACTGATCGATGTCCAAGATTTTAATGGTGTGGGAGAATCTGAACCCAATCCATACTTTTACCAGGTGAGTAAAATGAATTTGCTCCAAGAATTCGGCCACAGGTTTCAGGTATTAAAGAGTCTGTATATCTTGTAGAATTTGGCCGAGGCCGAGTATTGCGTAGCTGTCTTCATGTTCATGAGACTAATTGGATATCCAGCCAGCAAAATCACGATACTGACCACTTATAACGGCCAAAAACATTTGATTCGAGATGTAATCAATGCAAGATGTGCGAAAAATCCTTTAATTGGCAGGCCACATAAGGTACATATTTTTCTAACACACAAATACGTTTAATTTTTTACAGAAGGTTTTTTTGTGAACATTTGATTTTTTTAACAGGTTACGACCGTGGATAAATACCAGGGCCAGCAAAATGACTACATTCTTCTTTCACTGGTGAAGACCAATGCTGTAGGGCATTTAAGAGATGTTAGGCGACTCGTGGTGGCGATGTCTCGAGCTCGACTAGGACTTTACATATTTGCTCGAGTTGCCTTGTTCCAGAATTGCTTCGAACTCACCCCAGCATTTGAACAGGTTTAGTTTCTACTTTTACAAAGCTTTGAAAATTGCCACTTTCCACAGTTTCTTAACGCTTGGCTCAAAATATTGGTTTCAAATTTCGCTTTTTCCACACTTTTTTCTTTTGATTGATTAATGGATCTCTAAAAGCTCCCCGAAATCATCAATTAATTCAATATACTTGTGCCGATAGTTAACAACCAGACCCACGAAGTTACACCTGGTTTTAAATGAGCTATACCCAACGCATCGCCTTAGCAATGAAAAACCGGACAATCAAATTATGGTTGTAGAAGATATGACCCATATAGCCAATTTTGTTTATCAGTATTATATGGAGCGAGTTAAAGTCATGCGAACCCAATACGAGGTGAGTAGCAATAAAAAATATTTTTTTAAACGCAATTTAAACTTATGCAGAACGTTAATGTTATGGGCAATTCCGAATTATAAATATACAGGGTGTTATTGTTATGGTGGTTAAATCAGCTAACTGGCATTTTAATATATTATTGATGATTCGATGCCTGAAAAAGTACTTTTTTAAAGAAAATATACACCAGCCGTAATACAAGAAATAAAATATTTCTGGTAATGTGAAGTTCATTGCCTGCTGATTTCACCATTGTAATCAGCCAAAAAAGCGCAACTAAATTGCCAATTTATCCGACATTATAACGAACTTCATTTAGTTCTTCATTCGAAATAGTGCACACTTCATTTGAAGCACCCTATATATTCAGTCACCTTGATTTACCTGTCTCATAAAGTGCGACCTCACGTACTCACGTATCAGAATAAAATTAGTTACTTATCTTTAATAATACCCAGCCTTATCTCAAAGGTTGGCAATAAAAATGAGAGCTAATTCTCTGATAAATAGCGAACCTTAAATTCGCTATTAGTAAAGTAATTGGTTTAATTGTGTTCTTTGAGTCAGAATGGAAAAATGGCAGCGTATATTTTTGTGGGTAGTTCTATTTCAAATAGCTGTAACGGCAACAGTTTATCTAATTTCAACGAAAACACGCAAGTACCGCCCTGTGAAACCGGCACAATTATATCCAAGTGGTGAAACTCGCTTATTAGACTTCACTGATTTTCACTATACCATTAATAAGCCAACGAAATGTGGGTCTGCAAATCTTTTACTCTTAGTATTAGTATCCTCAGCTCCAGAAAACACGGAATATCGAAATGCGATACGACAAAGTTGGGGTAGAAACAATAAAGAGATAAAGTTGTTATTTACGCTGGGAAAAACCGACGACATCAAGCAAACCTCGCTAGATAACGAAGATGCAAAGTATGGCGACATCATACAAGGCAATTTTATAGACAGCTATAAAAACCTGACCTACAAGAGTGTCATGGCCCTAAACTACGCCGTAAATAATTGCCCACAGGCAAAATTTATCATGAAGTGCGATGATGATGTTTTCGTCAACATGTCCCTACTAAAAGAGTTTCTCAAAGCACATACACACGCAAATAGTACGCTATTTTGCAACGTAAATGAAAATATGCTGCCGGTGAGAGATCCTAATAGCACGTATGGCAAATGGTACGTTTCCCAAGAAGACTGGCCGGAAGAAATATACCCGAACTATTGTTCTGGTTGGTACACCATACTTACTTACGATGCTGCATTGTTTTTATACGCAAAAGCGCAGACGACTAAATTTTTTTGGATCGATGACGTTTTTTTAACTGGGATTGTTGCGCGTCAAATCCCCTGGCTTCATCATACGAATTTGGAAAAATACACTCTAGTAGATACAGTGGAGCTGAAAGATGCAATGAAGAAGCATCTAGAAGGTGTACCGTTTTTGTTTGGAATAGTAAATATGCTTCCGGAAGAAATAAAAATGTTGTGGCAATTCGTTCTCAAATATCCCATTTCGCAACGCAACTTTACTGAGTTAATTTAAGTAGTCGTCTCTAGGGCAAACCCAATCAAAACTGTAACACGATTCTAATTCGACTGTAACTACACATTAAGAGCCATTTCATACAAATGTTTTGAAGGTACATTGATTTACATAGAGCTATTCACACGGGCGCGACCAAGACCGGACCACCGATTTAGCATTGGTTCAAATGCTGGCGTTCACACGAGCCACTTCACTCTGTTTCATGTTAACGTGCGCTCTTCAGCGGTGCTGCCGAGAAGGGCGGCTGGTACAATGTCATCGTGCGCTTCTCAGCAGCGCTGCAGAGTGGCCCGCTTGAAAAGGCTCTAAGGGCTTTGAAATTTGTGAACTTTTACTAGGACACTCAAAAGCAATTTCAAGAACCAGGCAGTTTAGAACAAAAGTCCCATGATGGCCTAATCGCATCACATCCCGGTGAAGAAAGGGATACTGACAGTGAGGATGAACAGGAAGCAACAGGTCAACTACCTATACCGATTCAGGATGAAGTGCAGCCTCCAAAAGAATCACCAATGGAAATTATAGTATGTTCTATTTGATATTATTAACGATTAGTTGAGTCTTTGGTTCTCCAGTTTTATCGATTCTGCATCAGTTGATAAGTTTTCATATTTTGTTTCTAAAGGGCGTTTTACAGTTGGCTTATTATTAAGAGAAGCATAAGTTCAATGTTATTTTGCAGCCTGTGGAACAGCCGGATGATGATATGAAAGATGAGACTACGGCAAGTGAAACTATGGATACTGGGGAAGTTGCTAATGACGAGTGAGGTGTTTAAAGTATAGAAATATGAATAAAAGAACTGTACCAATAACTTTGCTGTTTTAATTACTTTATGTTACGTTACGAGTGCTCCGTTACTCACTTTTCGCATAACGTGGAATGTAAATTTATTCGAATTGAGCCCTGCGCCATTCCTTCAATTTCTGGAGTAGTTCTAAAAGATCTAGAACAACCTTCGTAGTTCATTTATGATCTTCCGAAGAAGAGCTTGGTGAAACGCAAATGACACTGGTAGATGGTTTGCGTTCGTCATCATCCTCAGAATCAGTGGTAGATAGATCTTCATCAATATCGCTATCAATCCTGTAATTAAATGTTTGATTAAAATATTATTCTAATGAATTTAAGGAAAAGTACGAACCATAATTTGGGTTTTTTTCCCAGTTTGCTTTTTGTATCGATTTTCCTCTTTATACCACTGTTTGAGGCTTCCAAGCCCTTTGTGACCGCATCCTCTATCTTGTCAGTCAACTCAGTCCTCTCTTTTTCATACTGCTCATCCTTAAATTCATGTCTGGGTTGCTCTAGTAGTTTTTCGAGTTTTTTCTTTTTCTTATCTTGCGCCTCTTTCTCGCGTTCTCCCTGCTGCTCCACCCATTTTATTAGCCTTTGTTCTTCGTTAATGTCCCTTAGCCTTCTGCCATTGAGGTCTCTACAGGCTTCTCTATTTGTGGTTTTTTCGATTTGAGCTCCAATAGCTCTTAGCATAGAACCAAAGCCACCTTTCCCTCCAAGGGTTCTTAATATAATGTGTACTTTTCTTTGTGGAGTTTTATCTTCCTCTGGGTGGAATATTCGTCCATTTGAAGTTAGATAGTACTCGTTTGGTTGTAGTCCCTGTAAAACGATGAATGTTATAACAACTGTATTTTATATGATCATAGTGATATCAAAGAACAATTAAACTCTCATTGAAAGTACAGATTTCGAGATGATCAATTCTCATCTCTGATTTTCAACAGTTTTAGCGCGAATAACACTCGAAACTTGTACTTTATTTTGCCATTTGCGATTTAAACTATAGGATTATTAATTGAACTTTGGCCACTCAATTAATTAATTTCAAATTTGAATATCAAAATCAAATCAAATTATTCAAAATTAAAATATTAAATACAAAAGTTATAGATATTAACGTCTAGTTCATTTTAAGATAATATCAAATGTTATTATAGGATGTTTCAAATTCACGTGCCAGACCAACACTTGCATTTTTTTAAATAGAGCGATGTAGTTTGGTCTTCCACGTGAATTTCAGATAGCCTGTAACAACTAATATTAATTTAAAATAAATTAGACGTTAATATATGCGATTTTTGTATTTATTCCCCTTCCCCAAATTCAATTTAGAGATTAAAAACGGGGTGGCTAAAGTTATATCACCATCCTCGGGCTCAACAATTATTTCATTGAAAGCTTGACTTTTTAGAAATTGGGACTAAATATTTAAAGAATGTTTAAGTTAATTGAAACACACACGATCAAAAACGTTTGCACTTCGGATAGAATAGAGATAAACTTACTATGCTCTTCTGAATGTGCAGTATGAGGTCTTGAACAGAAGTACCATATTCTATTAAAGATACACAGCGTTTTCCCACAAATAATTCCATTGTGTTAGGACTATTTTAGCAGCACTTCGAACTTTACAAGTAACTTTTGAATGATAGAAATGTGAATTTTGTAACACAATTTTTCACTGAGTAAAACACATGTAAACCAGCAGCAAGCGTAAACAATGACGAAATAGGTTAGGTTTTAGGTGAGCTCAGCCTGTCATTCTTTTATATGACTTGCACATTTACACAGATTATCAAACTATGCGCATTTACGAGTTCGGTTCAGAGGTGTTCTGTGTACGAGTGGCTCATCGCAACATGCAACGTTTTAACGTGCTATCCTCCAATAATGCAATAAACATAATTAAATGCAATTATTCGGACGGCTCCCAGCCCCTGAAAATCCCCAGCACAAATCGTTTAGTCAAAAATAATTTGCTTAAATTTTTAAATATGGAAAATACAGCCCAAAGTCTAAATGGTTTGACCAGGATCACACGCAACGTTTTAACGTGCTATCCTCCAATAATGCAATAAATAATAAATAGCAATAAACATTAAAAAAATGCAATTATTCGGACGGATCCCAGCCCCTGAAAATCCCTACCACGAATAGTTTAGCAAAAAAGAATTTGTTTATTTTTTTAATTTTGAAAAAAGCAGCCCGAAATCTAAATGGTTTGGCCAGGAACACTCACGGTAAAAGTAATGCTAAACTTACCGAAAACTGCATTGTACCATCTGGACAAAAATACAAATCTGTTTTATTACATAAACTTAGTCGAAAACCCAGTGATTTGATTGGAAAGAAAAATAAATAGGAAACTGAATAAAACTTGAAATGTTTTTCGAAAACTCAACTCAGTTCAAGTTAAAATCTATAAACCATAGATTAACAATCCTTCTTACCTGATTTTTACAAACTGCGTTAAACCTCAAAAAGCACATACTATATGCACAACACAATGAGAATCCGCACAAAGTTGAAAATAAATGTGGATTGCACTTAGCAATTAACAGGTAAGCTGGTCGACCGTTCGTGCCTAAATAACACTAAATTGGTGCTTTTATCCCGTTTATAAACAAAGAACCGACGACCGATTTTGTCCCTTGCCCATAAAATAGACTTAGCTAAATGTTTAGCTTTCCGATAAATCTCAGGCGAAATCGAACTTACATAATGATAGAAGCGTTTTGCTCGCTGGCCCTTTGGGTGACTCATTGTATTGCTTGCTGTACTGTTTTTTTCTTATTGACGATTTTCTAGAAATTCTCAGTCTGGATCGAACAGGTTTGGATATTTAGCCTAAACAACTTGCTTTTTCGAGTAAAGATAAACAAACTTCGCCGTTCTTGGGCGACTTTTGAATGCTAAATTAAATACTCGGTCTCCGATCCATGGTTTGCTAATTGGCATAAAACGTGAAAACTTTTTTAGCTTGATCTATTGTGAGAGGTTGCACAATTTTTAACAGATCCATCAAAGTAAACCGTTCGCAAAATATGCCATGATTTGTAAATGCTTCACTTCGATTGCACTATTAAGAGCGACGGAAAATTTGCACTTGTAACATGAACCAACAACTAGATTCCAATCAATAATGAACAAAACATCGAAAAGTTATACGATATGCGATAAAAATAGTTAGATTTATTTACTCTGCCTTATAAAACACATTTGAATTTTTATTAAATCCCTTCGGATCCTTAGTCTAGCTCGTATTCCCAAATTTGATCATGGCGTATTCTCATTGACATTGATCATCATTTCACTCTTTTTTATATCCGGATTCTTGAAGTCCCCCGGCACTTGTTCGCTCTCCATACGGTATTCTCCGGAAACAATTCCAGACTGTCCAGCCACTTGTCCATGAGGAGCAGAATGCACCAATCTGCCGATCAAAGATGACGGGCGGTCTTTCCGTATCCTCAGCCATTCATGTTGAATGACCCGATCTAATGTTAAACGCAATGTTAAGTCGGGTTCCAGCAGATGTCTCACCAACGACTTGGAACTGGACGAGAGCGTTTCGCGCACCCTGGATCGGAACACCCAGTTTTTGGTCATTTGATCCTTCAGTAGTTTCCTCAAGTTGGAATCGTCGAATGGCATCGACGCATTCAACATGATAAACAGAATAATACCCAAAGACCACACGTCCGATAACTTAGGGTTGTATGGGGTTCCGTTGACAACTTCTGGGGCGGCATATGCTGCCGATCCGCAATAGGTTTGACTCAGAATTCTCCGGTTGTCCGAATCGACGCAAAATCGGGCAAATCCAAAGTCGGCAAGTTTCACATTGAATTTGCGACTCAGCAGAATATTTTCGCATTTCAAGTCTCGGTGCGCAATATTTTTCCCATGCAAGTAGTGCAGTCCGCTGGCCATTTGACGGAACCAGATCTTGGCCTGCTGTTCTGGAACCACGCCATTTCTCTTAATAAAATCTAGTAAATCTCCATTATCGGCGTATCTATAAAAGAAACAGAGTTTAGGGATTAGAAAAGGAATGTCTCTTGACGCTTTGCAAGCACGCATGGCTTGCATCTTCAGATGTAGTTTTCTCCGAGCAGCCCACTCTAAAAGCCCGAAAAACTCACGAGTTTCACTTATGTACTCATCCAAACAGTTATGAGTCCGCGGTCATTGCTTGAGTAAGCTTTTTAAAATAAAAAATGTTCATGAGTGCTTACCTCATAAAAATGAAAACCCTTGGTCCCCTTTGTAGTATACTGTGCACTTGAATAATATGGGGATTTTCAATTTTGGTGAGAATATCCAATTCCCTGGGGAAAAACTTCTCTAAAAAATCCTTCGGGGCCTTCTCTTTGTCGAAAATTTTACAAGCGAGACGCATTTTTTTGGGACCCGTACTGTCCACATAGTCGGCAAGATGGACCGTTGCATACGATCCCTGTCCGATCTTCTTCCCGATCAAATAACCCCGCTGTTCCAGTGCGTTTACTTCCGAATTTCGCGGACTAAGTCGAGCAGCCATGTGAATCAAAGAACTCACTTTTTCTTAACTTTCAATTTGCTTCCACCACCCATTCAGATGACTCTACCCCAAGTTTGTGTGTTACATGGAATTTCGTCTAGATGATGTGCGGTTTTACCATCTTGTTCAATGTACAAAAATTTGGGATTAGGTTTGGCATTCGAGTTGACAAGCGAAATGCTTACCCGCTATGTCAATTGGGCCATTATTAGTTCCCACAGAAATGATCCAAAAAGTTTCGACTCAACGTTGACTTTTCTAAACTAAACCAAACGTTGTCCAACAAGTTCCAGTCACTTAAATCATTTTTAAATTCGTCAATAGAGTGCGAATTTGAAATTAGTTATTGATTAGTTTAACCGACGCAAATGGGGGGTTTAAAAACATTTGGGTTAACTGCAAATAAAAAACTATTGTGAGTAAAACCAAGAAAATAAAGCACAGGGTAAATCGCCTTCCTCGAGACTTCATTTCACAAGGAAACAAATGGTTAACACAAGCAAATTAAAAAAAAACTTTCTGCAAAAGGAATCTGCTAATTTGAACAGTAGCATTTACAAATGAAAAATTATAGTACAATTATATAACAACTACATAAGTTCGCACCATATGCACGAACGAATTCTCGAAAAAGTTTTCGAGATAGTAACCGCATCAGTCGATTTTCGACAAAAGCCTGAAAACCGCACTGAAGAGATCCTACCGACTGCGCCAATTTTGTTTCTGGTCGAAAAATAATTGCGTTTAAAAACGTTTCCTTTACAAACCAAAAGGTTTTACAACATTGATGCTCACAACTGACTTAAGACTAAATTTTCGGTGGCGAATGCTGCTTATACAGTGTGTCTACTTAAGTTGGCACTATATGAGAAACTTTTTTGATAGTAATTTTACAAAAACGGTCCGTTTCGTTCTATTCGTGTGGAAGTAAAAATATAAATTGTTTTAATCGTTGGTGATAAGTATAAAACTTCTCGTGATGCAGCTGAAGTATTTAACAACAGACACTCAGAGAAAAAATTATACAATGTTCGTCAGTAATAAGAATTACGCAAAAATTCAAATCATGTGAAGATGATAAATTGTAGCAACGTAGTAACAAGCGTACAAAAATAATGAAAATGCCGGAAAACACATTGTTGAACCCAATTTCCGCCCAAAAAGTATACGTTTCCAGATGCGAGAAGAAATGTATTTTCAAAATAAATGTCCAACGTTTAAGAGAAACTGGTTTACTCAAATATGAGTGGAAAATGATTCAACCGCAAGTACAAGAATTCTTGCAAATGAGGCAGAAAATGCCGATTTTACTAGAAAAAGAAACTTTCATCATGAATTGAAATTTCATTTCAAGACTTGATTGGTTTTATTGATTTTTCTAACAAAATAAATCATGCAAATATTCGATGCAAGAGCAATTTGCCAGCATTCGATTTAAATAGCTTTATTCTGTTTTCATTTTTGGGC